GAAAAAGAAAAAGAAAAAGAAAAAGAAAAAAAAGGCTCAGAGCCGAAGCAGAGACGAGAAGGGCGTCAGCGCACAAGAAAAGTTGCCAAAATTTTCCAAGAGAAGGCCGTCTTGCATTGGAGCGCCTTCGACTGTTCCGCTTGCGACCATCATCGGTTTGATCATCTCGTCCACCCCACTCAAAGCTCAAAGCTCAAAGCTCAAACAACAGCCATGTCGACCTGGGCTGCCATGGCTGCGGCCGCCAACAAAGCGCCTGCACCCGCTCAACCAGACACCTCCGAATCTTCCGAGGCAGCAGCTGCTTCAACCTCGACGGCCGCCGAGCATGCCGCCACCGACGCCTCCGAACCGGCTGTCAGGACCAAGAAGCCGCGCATCGAAACGCTCATCCTCGACGCAGGTGCGCTCATCATGCGCGCTCCCCTCGACGGCCTCGCGTCCGAATACTACATCCCGCCGCGCGTCATCCAGGAGATCAAGCACGCGTCCGCGCGCGAGTACCTCGAGTCGCTCCGTCTCCGTCCCGACTTTAAGCTCAACATCGTCCAGCCCGGCCCGGCTAGCATGGTCGCCGTCACGGAGTTTGCCAAGAAGACCGGTGATATCGGAGTGCTCTCCACGCAGGATCTCGAGGTGATCGCGCTGACATACGAGCAGGAAGTGCACAGGCACGGGACCAAGCGCATCCGAAGCAGGCCAGACGGCCCGCGAGGCGAGGCTACATCCACGTCTTCGTCTGCATCCGCGACAGCCAACGGTGCAGAGGACAATGCAGCTGCCTCGACATCCGCATCTACCTCGGCAGACACAAAGGCAGCACGTCAGGCGGCCATCGAGAAGAAGCGTCAGCAGAAGGCAGACGCAAAGCAGAAGAAGCTCGAGGAGGAAGCGGCGGCGCAAGGGCTCACAGTGGACCAGCTCGTGGCGCAGCGCATCCAGCAGAGCCGAGAAAAGAAGGCCGCCAAGAAGCACGCCAAGGCCGTTGCAGCCGAAGAAGCAGCAGCGCCTCTCGACGACGCAGCCGGCTCGGCAGAGCAGGACGCCGTCCAGGAGGCGTCCACATCGCATGTCCAGCCAGGCCCAGAGCAGGGATGGCACGACGCCGACTACACGGACGACGACGAGGAAGAGGGCGAGGGCGAGGGCGAGTGGATCACACCGGACAACGTGCAGAAGGCCAAGAACTTCAGCCTGGGCTTTGTAGATGACAGCCGCATGCCTGGCTGGAAGTACTCGGTGGACGAAGCCAAGGACGACGTGCCCGAGCCTGCCGACCTAATCCAGCCGGAGGAGCCGCTTGACGAGGGCTGGGAGCGCGTCGAGTCGAGCAGCAAGGCCAAGTCGAAATCGGCGTTCAAGTCGGGGCACGTGTCGCGCGACTACAACGACCCTTCGATCCAGTCGCGGCCCTCGCTGTCGTGGGATGCGATGGGCAACGTCTCCAACACGGGCCACATGACGGTCGCCTGTATCACGGGCGATTTTGCGGTGCAGAACGTGCTGCTGCAGATGGGGCTTTCGCTCGTCGGCGTGCACGGGTCGCGCGTGCGCTCCGTCAAATCCTTCGTGCTGCGCTGCCATGCCTGCATGAAGGTGTGCAAGGACATGGAGAAGAAGTTCTGTCCCGTCTGTGGCAACGCCACGCTGACCAAAGTTGCCGTCACTGTCGACGACACGGCCAAGGGTGGATTCCAGCTGCATCTCAAAAAGAACTACCGCTTCAACCTGCGCGGCACAAAATACTCGATTCCCGCCCCCAAGGCTGGTTCGGCCTCGGGCGGAAAGACGGGTGGATCGGGGATCATTCTACGCGAGGACCAGCTCGAGTGGCAACGTGCGCTTGCCAAGGAGGCTAGTAGGAAGCGCAAGGAGGAGAGGGCGCTGGAAAAGGCCATGCGTGCCGGTAAGGATTCGCTGTCGGTGAGGTACGAGGAGGCTTGGGACACGGGCGACATATTTTTGGGAAGCCAGTTTGCCTCGCGCGATAAGAGCAGCCTGCCCGTCATTGGACACGGCCGCAAAAACCCCAATGCCAACCGCCGTACGCGCAAGTAACAACAGCCCTTTCATCATGCAATCTCACTGCCTGTTGGTCATTGTAAAGAAATACTTGGGTGTGCGCGTGATCTTGCTTGCTCGTCTGGCTAAGGTGGCAAAGCTGAATCGTGGTTGCAGCACTTAGGTGGACCGACTCTTGCGTTTGGGTCGAGCCTTGAGGCGTTCCGCCAGTGTAGCGCCCTCTCCTTCCATTGACTGGGGCACGAGTTGCGGAATGGCAACACGGGGAGGCGAATGCACCGCCTGCAACTTTTCCTCCTCCTTCTTGACCACCTGACTCGAAGGTGGCGTAGGATAACCCTCGGTGACTTGTGGCACGCCCCAAAACGCCTTGTCTGCATCTTCTATCTTTTCTTCCTTCCTCGCAGCGTTGTACGTTGCAAACGATCTTAGGTCGGCTGTAAACAGTACGCTGTGGGCCCATCCCGCATACTCGCCCCAGAGCGCACGGAAGTGGTCGGCGATCTCCTCGTACCGCTTCGTGCGTAGGCGGTACCACTTTTCGGCAAACTGAAACACGTGTCTGTCCACCGGTATGCTCGAGGCTTGGTCGAGCGACATGAGCAGAATACAGTCGGCCACTTTAGGCCCCACGCCCGGATACTGGATCAGCTCTTGCCGTGCCGAGTGATACGATAGTGTACGCAGATGCTGCAGATACGATCGCACCGATTCAAACCTCTTTTCTTCGCCCTCGGACGCCGCCGACGGGGTGGAGGAGTTCGATGCGTTTGGTGCGCTTGATCGTCGCGCTCGTTTAACAGCCCTTCCAACCTCTGTAGTGTCCTTCGATCCGCTGGCGGAATCAGGTGTGGCGGGAGTTGAGATGTCCTCTTCCGGCTTGATGCCGTACAGCCAGTGCGACTCGTCCAGATGATCTGCTTTGTATGTTGTGTGTGCTTTGGTCGCGCTCGCCTGCGCGTGCTGCTCGCACAGCATCTGCGCCGTCTTGGCGAGGTACTTTGCACGGTATCCGAAGCCGAGCTCGCGCAGCTTCTCCTCCACCCCTGGCTTGGCCAGCGCCTCTGGCGAGGGGAACGGATGATACACGATCTTCATCTCTCCCTGCTCGACCTCCTCTGCAACCGTCGGTGGTGGAGCAGCATAGCCATGCTCGAGCAAGGGTGGCGAAAAGTGGGTGCAGAGATTCTGCACCATCTGCCCTATGCGCGCAATATTGTTGTTCGAACTGCACACGAAGGCGCACAGGCACTCCCACGGATCCTGCCTCAGCATGCGCAGGCCCGAGAAGCGCGTGGCAAACCGCGCAAAGACAGCATCCTTGGCCTCCCATTCGGCATACAGCGCCTCGAGCGGCACATCGAGGTTGAGGTAGTCCTTTAGCCACCGTTCCGTCTCCCTGATAGTCTGCGCATCGTTCGCCCCGTCAACGGGCCGCGAAGAGGTAGAGGGGAGTAGTGTCTTGTGGTAAAGGAAGCCGCGGTGCTCGTCTTGACGCAGGAGCACCACTCGGTCCGCTAGACATAGAGACCACTCGATCTGTTCGCCCCATCCACCACTGCTTGGGGCCGACGCTGTGGGAACCCATACTTTATTCGCGCGCCATCGGAATGCCTGCCCGCACTTGTTGGATACCGTGAGCGGCAGAAGGATCTGCGACGGCGCCGCCCTCAGGGCAGCATAGCCAGCGGGAGGCCGTGGACCGAAAAAGTCGGCGTGCTCCGGGTCATCGTGCTTGTCGAGCTTGCCGTTCGAGCCCATGGCGTACAAAGACGTATGAAACTGGCGTGGCGAGCTTGGGTATCTTGCAATGCAGCGAGGTGTGAAGACGGCTGGAGTCCGACAGGAGCAGAGACGGGCGAGAGTTGGCGTGAAGAGCGACCTTCGCATGCGATCTAGGCGAAATGGATGAGATGAAGAGCTCTGCTGTAGTCCGTGGCAGTGATGAGAAGGGGACTGAGAAGAGTATGAGCGAGAACCTCGAGCTTAGATTGCCGGCTGTGGCCCGGAAGCTGTGGTTGGTGGCAAATAAGCTTCGCAGCGTAAAGATGGACCCTGCCGACCGAATTTCGAGCTTTCTCAATGTTAGACCGGCAAAGCCCTTGTCATTAAAAAATAGCTTCGGCGCATTGACAGGTCCAACACGTCTCTAAACGTCGAGATTCGATCCCACCTTTCCTCCTTCACCAACCTCATCTCGACCACAGCTGCAACCGCGCTGCTTCCTCTCTCTAGCGGCAAGAGAGGCTTGACAGCATGCGGATCACCATCGACTCCGCTTCAGATGTCTCTGCAGACGAGCAGCCGTCTCCCGTCGTCGTCGTCAGGAAGGCCCCCCCACCTCGCACGGACTTGCCCAACTTCGCCTCGACTTCATCCACCCCGGCTCCATCCAGGAAGGGCATCCTTCGCAAAACCTCCTCGTACAACTCCGCTGCAACGCCTACGCCACGACGCGTTCAAAGATTCCACCATGAGACAGACCACCAAACGCCGAGCCCGCAGCTCCAAGACCCAGAGACCACCCCGGGCCGTCGCGGTGCCAACGGTGCTACCCAGCTTCCGTTCCAGCAGCACCACCGCAGACGGAGCACCACGCCTGCTTTTGAGCTGGTAGGTGCGGTGCCTTCATCCTCTCGCTCGCCCATCACATCACGCACCGACGCCTCGAGCCCGGCGGCGCAACGTGCGACGCCGCAAAGACCGTCCGGCAGCCTTCCTCCGTGGATGCGGCCCTCGTTCAACCGCGCGCCTCGCTCCGCTTTGGCCGGATTTGACACAGACTCCTCCGACGAGAAGGGTGCGGGGCTATCTTCTTCAGACGACCAAGAGGAGGGTCGCCTCACCCAGTCGGACTCGGACGACAGCAACGACTCGGACAGTGCAGCATCCTCCTCACCACACACCTCGCCTTACGACGGCGACGGTTTGACAGACAGCGACGATGAAGACTGGCGCGACCGTCAAGGTGCCGCTTCGAAGACCGTGCGCACGTCCAAAAGCAGGTCCAGATCGGGCACCCACCGCGCCGACGCTTCGGCGGTCAAGCTCGCCTCGATCGCCGGTGACGACTGGGAGGAGTGGAACCGAGCATCGTCCAGACTGGCGTGGCAGCGCGCACGCAGCTCCCACCGCGACGCATCCACATCAGCCAGCGGAGCCGCCACCACGCAACGATCCGCACCAAGCAAGACAGCATCCTCCGGAGCAGATGTGGACGAGGTGCAGGCGCTCTTGTCCTCGCTCAACATGCGCCGAGACCAAGAAGACGCGCAAATCAAACAAGCGTTCGAAGCGCGCAATGCGGATCTGTGGTCGGGCATCGATGCCTGCATCCTCGCCGCCGAGAACGAAGCGCGCAAGCTCGCCGCTGCCGAAGCTGCACGTCTAGAGGCGGCGCGCAAGACGCAGGAGGAAGCCGAGCGCAAAGCGGCGCAGCAACGCCAGGCGGAGCTCGACCGCATCGAGGCCGAGAAGAAGGCAGCACAAGCCGAAGCCGAGCGTCGCAAGCAAGAGGCCGAAGCCACGGCGGCCAAGCAGAAGCAGGATGAGGCGGAGCAGGCCAAGGCGCGCGCCATGGGCGGCACCGGCGACGACATCCGCAAAGCCGCGCTGGCAGAGTACGACGAGTGGATGGCCAAGATCCGCCACATCAAGACGAGCGTGCTGCCGAGCATCGCGTCCAACCCGGAGCTGCGCAAGCAGTGCTTTGCCGCCAAACGCCAGATCACGCCCAAGATCGGTCAGCTGACCAACTCGCGCGCCGAGATCGTGCGCATCACCCAGGCGATCGCCGGCGTGCTGGATGCCGCCAAGCAGGCCACCGCTTCCGGAGGCGGCGACGTCTACACCTGGATCCTCAACCACCTCTCCAAGTGCCTCATCCGACAGGCCGAGCAGGAAGTCGCCGCCAAGCAGGATACCGCCTATCCGCTAGCTCGTGTTGCGGTTTGGCTTGTGCTGCTCGGCCATGTGGAGTTGGCAGACGTGCTCATGGCGCGGCTGTGCAAAAAGTGTCCCTGGATCGTTCCGGTCTGGCCGGCACGCACCAAGGACATGGACGAAGCGGCGTACCGAAAGGTGATGGGCTACAAGGCGGACGAGACCACTGAAAACTACTCGAACCGCATGAACGGCATCGCGGCCTTCTACTTTGGCATGCTCCAGACCGTGCCCACGCCACCACCGGGCCAATCCAGCATCCAACTCGAACGGGTGCCACTCCATTTGCGGTCCACCTCGCTTTGGCGCTGGAGCGTACGTGCTCTCACGCCCTCGACCGCCGCGCCCGTGGCGTTTCTCGACCACCCCATGTGCCCCTCGGTCTGGTCGGTGTTTATCGAGATCGCTGGAACCTATGCGCTCAAGCTGTACGGCAAGCAGATGCAGAAGCTCTTTACGCTCCTGCTTTCCCAGGGGCTGCAGGCCAAGAGGGCAGGCTGGCTCAAACACGCCACCGACAAGCCGTACGTCAAGGCCGCCACGATCCGTCTTGAACTGCTGCTGATGGACTGGCAGGCTTCGCCAGGTAAGGCGGTCATTCAGAACGCCACAAAGGGCGTCGAGATGGAACCATGAGGCGTCGACTCGCACATGCAATGCATCGATTTTCGGTGTAAAGGCGCAATTCTTGGCGCGAGGATCAGGATCGCTTGTGGATGTGTTGCATGTCAAGGCGTGTGACAGGGGATTGGCTGGTGAAGGAGAGGCTGGGGGATGGCGCACATGGCGTGGGGAGTGGATGCAGCAAGACGGCTCTGGTCGCGGTGAGGTTGAGCTCGTGGCGTGATTGAGGTGCATGCCATACCCACGCCAGCTGGTGGGATCGCTCACGCCGCACCGGTTTCCATCTGCGACGCCATAGATTGTACTGGCGCGCCAAGCGATGGCCGACAGCAAACATGGACAGCAACTCGAGACACCGCTTCACCTCACCACTCCTTGATTGCAACTCTACTTGGCGACGTTTCAGTCTTTGTGCTTCACTCGCCGCCCGTGAAAAGCATATAACACGGCTCCTCGATGTAATCTCCTTCTCCTCCCCCATCACACTCTTCAATCTTCACTCATCTTCAAGACATCCACATCCACAAAGACCTCAAAAATATCTATCAAGACCTACCCACTTTGCGACGATGATGTTCCCCCTGCTCACTGCATTCCTCCTCGTCGGCCTGGCCCAAGCCGGTTGGCTGGGTAACGGACAGGCCGAGTGGTCTGCTCGCTGTGCCCTGGGATCCGAGATGGAGGGTGAATTCGTCTGCTTCACCAGTCCTACGGACATCACCCAGAAAGCCGCCTCTGGCACGTGGTCCGGATACGCCGCTTCGGACGGCCTGGCGTTTGCGCTCGTCGAGAGCAGCAGCTCGGGCGAGCTCATGTCGATGACCGACCATACCATCAACATCCAGTGGCTCGGTGGAAGTAGCGCCCACGTGATCGTCCAGGACTACGTCAACAATGGCTGGGTCACCGGCGCCGAGGGCGACACAGATAACCCGGACCAGAAGACCATCTTCCAGCTCTCTGGCGGCGGAAACAAGCGCTCTTCGGCCGTAAGACATGCTGCCGGTCGTCGTGCTGGCGGTCATGCTGGCGGTCACGAGGGTGAGGGTAGTCACCCGGGCAGCAAGCCTCCCGCTGGCAGGGGCACCGGCCACGGAAAGCACCCCCCTGAGCAGGTCTGATTGCGGCACGCCACCTACGGCCCCGCATCGCAGAGCACCATAAACTGCAGGTCGGTTCAATGATGCTCTTTCAAGATCGCTTCTTTGCTCCCCGTTTGGTCGGTTCTTCTTGACGTCTGATGAATTCAACATGTTGCTTTCGCTATCCATGCTGTGTGCCTGAAGCAGGACTGTGACGAGCTTGGATTCTCTGGCATCTTTCTACGACCAAGTGAGGCTGCAAGGGGAGTCACAACAACCATTCGAGCATGAAAAGCATATCGGCATTTCGTAGCGAAGCATCAGTGAGTCTTGGTGAGCCAACGAACTGCGCTTCTGCCTCTGGCGATGCAGCGAAAATCTGGCACGAGATGGCCGAGCTTCACGCACGTCGCGAGAACACCGCTCAGGCCTTGAGGTCGTACCACTTGGCGCTGGAGCAGGTGAGGTAGTTGGTGATCTCGTTGCCGTTCTGATCCTCGACATCGACAGCCGCGCAGTTCTTGTCGTTGTTTCCGCTGGCACCCCAGTTGACGTTGATCTTGTAGTTGCCGATCACAAGCGAGGACGAGGCGTCCTGGTTGGCAACCAGCACAAAGCCTTTAAGCACACGCAAAAGGTCAAGATTAGCGTTGGCTCAAGCATGGCGCCCAGCCACCAAGCATCCTGTACATACTCTTCTTGTCATCGGCAATAAATCCGCTAAACTGCGAGCCAGGACCGGGGGTAAGATTATCGATGTTGGTGGTGAAACAGACCCGCATGGTGTCGGTGTTGCTGCACAGCGCCTGCACGGTAAAGTTGGGCGGACTCTGGGGTTGCCAGCCGTTGCCAGCGCTGGCAAGTCCAGCAAAGACCGTGGCCATGAGCATGACAGAGGTAAGGAGCTTCATCGTAAAATTCGAAAAGGGGGTGAGGTGGTGCAGGTGGAAATGTTTGGAGGAGCAAGTTTCTGTGTCGTTGGAACGATGTTGGATGACCTGGAAAGTGGGGGCAAGGGTCCGTTCTTTATACCTTTCGAGTAGCGACGACGAGGCTGCTGCACCACAGCATCCACTACAGAACACACTCTGGAATGCAGCTTGTACAGTATCGCATCCGGGAGCTTTGAGTCGGACAGGAAATGAGCTACCGGTGGGGCCTCGTCAGGCTGTACATCCGGTCCTCGTGTCGCCCCACTTTGTGGGCGACTCATGAAGCGTTGTCACGCAGGGGTCGACCCCACAACACACAGCCGCAAGGCCCACACCACGGTGTTGCAGCCCACTGGATCCACTGCCGTGACAACAACGATTTGAGAACTCATTTGCAAGTTGCATATGCCCTCCGCCCGTTGCAAAGCTCCGGAACCAAAGTATCACTCTGACGACGCTCAAGTGCTGGACGACATTGATGCTCGCCCTTGTCCAGCACGCATCTTGAACTCCAGACATCACACAGTGATAGAGCTATGATGTGTGAAATACACTTGTTTGGAGATGGTCGTGCCGATGTCCGCTCTGCAGTGAGAATAATGACGCCGTGAAAGGGAAAGCTTTTACCTGCCTGTCCGCGATACCTTTCGCTCCGCCGAGCAGCGCAATGGAAAGTAGCAGCCTCTGAGGCTTCCGTTCGGGCCACTCTATCGTCGCGCAACGCACTGTACGATATCCAAATGGGGCTGCATTGGGCACCCGGCCGTGTCGCCTCTCGAAGGTGGGCAGGGATGCCACCCTCGAATGGGCTTCACATGCGCCCCACGACCCTGCGTTGCACTGCACAGCGGTCCAAACGATAGAAATGATGGCCTGTGTACCTTCTATGGACAATAATGTTCTGACCTCCATTGATGCAACCGCTTGGTACGAAACATGCATGGCGGCGGATACACATGGAAAAGTGTGGTCCCATGCGGACCTGCCAAACAATGCAACGGAGATGGCATCACAACGCCGATTGGGGCTGATATGATTGCAATGTCTACTCATCGATACATCAAAGGCCGGTTGGCCCAATGGTAAGGCGT